ATCTTATGAATCTGATAACAACTGACAATAACTTCAGTAGCCTACAACAACTCAGTGCCTTTTTACCTCTTCCTCTTGCCACTTTATATTATGAGCGTCACAAATTACATTTTGTCCTCATTGTTTTATACTTTTATTTTTATCTTTTCAATTCAATACCAAAATTGAAGGTGATCTACACATCACCATTATTGAAGTATTTTGTATTTGTCTACATATTTATCTTTACAGGATAGGTTTAATTTTTCATATGCACTTGTGTCGCTCACTGTCTCGTGTCTTTGAATTTGAACTTGAAGGATTCCCTTTAGCATTTCTTTTAACTCAGATTTGATGGTTATGAACGCCATCTTCTTTTGTTTATCTATTTATTTCTTCTATATGACAATTTTTCAAGATGTAGTATTCTTTCCCTTCAGCACTTGAGATATTATCCCATTTCCTTGTGCCTGTAATGTTTCTGCTTCGAACTCTGCTGATGATCTTCTAGAAAGCTCCTTTGTACGTTATGAGTCACTTTTCTCTTGGCGCTGTCAACATTCCATCTTTGTCTTTGATTTTTCATAGTTTGGTTATAATGTGTCTTGGTATGGACCTCTTTGAGTTCATCATTGTGAATTTGAATGTTTTCTTCCTCAAATTTGGGGAGTTTCAACCATTATTGAATATGCTCTGTCCCCTTTCTTTCTCTCTTCTCCTTCTAGAATTCATCCAGTTGATAGTGTCTCATCAAACTTTCTTTACTTTTCTCCATTCTTTTTTTTTTTTTGATTGTTTGTTTTCTTTTTCCTGTGACTCAGTAATTTCAAATGACCTGTCTTTTGAATTTGCCTATTCTTACTTCTGCTTGGTCAAGCCTGCTGTTGAATTTTTCAGTTCCGTATTATATTATTATCATACATGGGCCCTGCTTTTCTGAATCTGTTCTTTAATGTATCTACTTTGTACTGACTCCTTGGCACAATCTTTTCCTTTTTGTGGGGGTGAGCAAATCTGACATTGTCCCCTCTCTAGGGCTTCTTTGGGAAAGAACTTGCCTTTGTCTCAGAAGACTTAATCAGCATTTTCCATCCACATCATTGGTCCTCTCCTCTTGGCAACTTCTCATCATTCAGTCTTATTCCTTTTAGAATGAATA